CCACACGCTCTTTGAATATGAAAAAGAGAGTTGAAAATATATAGCGCTATGCACATAGAACTGGGAAGAGACTGGAAATATTTCACAACTTCTAATTTCTGGACAGTGCAGTCCAACAGCTGGTCTGAGGACTGATACAGCCCACAGTCAGCTTTTGTCTGACTGGCTGCCATGTCACGGTGGATTAAGAGAAAAGATGCAAAGACCATAGATGTTTTCTTCACAGACAAAATCATTAGTAGGTATGAATCTCCTTACAAGGAACATTTGTTTGTTTTTGCACTAGAATCTGTCACATAAATATCTCATCTGTATGAGTCCAGTCTCACTTTAGAGTCTTGAATATCGGGCTTTCCCATGAAGGAGATCCCACAGTATAATATATTCATTAGTTGCAAACATTTTCTTCTACAAAACGCAATCCAAGCAGTTAGCTTACAGATATCCCTGTATGACATAGCAACACAATCCGTTTGTAGGTATGAACTTTTCCTTTCCTATCATATCACAGCAGTAAATGTTCTCATTAAGTATTGCACAAAGTAGGAACAGAACTAGAGGAGAAGTAGGGAAAACCAGATATTTGCTAGAGGCAAATTATCTCACACTCAACCTGTATCTCAACATAGAAGAGCTAAAGATGTTATTTGTATAGTCTTGAGTGTCAGCTATTTACTTATTTTTCTGACTTACTGGTTGGTTTTATAGGCATACATGCTATTAGAATGAAATTAGTCCCATACATGTTTAAAAAGAAAAAAAAAAAAAAATGCAAGGTAGAGAAAGAAAATAAATATTTCTTGAATGTGTACACAAATACAGGAAAACGCTCCATGGGCAGCTATCTGTAATATTTTCCAACATATAAAGAGAAAGAAAAAACTAAAACACAGCAATCCATATCTATTGCAACCACTGGAATGGAGTCTGAAATGAAAATTAATCTTTTTAAAAGAACTAGACAGCTTTATTCAGAAGTTTAAAATAATCTGTTTACTAAAGAATCTGGCATACTACATTCAACTGTGTTTTCTTCTTATTTTATTTGTCTTCAAGATTTCATTTACATTCAATTTTATCATGCAAAGGGTATAAAATATATACCTAAATAGAAGCATCATGATGTGTCATAGACACAGCAATTTAGAAATTGAGAGGATCATCTGGATAGGATCAAAGAGATCTGGCTTCCAGATCAGATTTAAGCAAGCAATGAAATCTAGTCATATAATGTCTAATGAGTTTCCTTCTGTAGTTGGATATTGAAATCTCAGAAATAATTCCTCAGAAAGAGAAATGTCATGCTGAGTGTTGGCATTTTCTGATACAATGATGTCACTGCTTGATGGATCATTCTTGGCAGGCATGAATTACTTTGTGCATCATAACAAATTGGAGCATTCAAAATTTCTGGTATACTACATTCAACTGTGTTTTCTTTTTATAGTATATGTTCTTTTCTTCAAATTTGATATACGTCTCAAAATAAATCATAAATCTATGTAAAATATGACCATGGTTTATACTAACAGAGAAAGAAAATAAGGAAAAGAACAAAACATTAAAAAAAAAAAAAAAATCTGTTTTATTTCTGTATCTTTCCAAAATACTCATGATCACAAATATATCAGCCAGGCCAGTTTCCTTTGATGGCAAGTACAATTTGCAAAGTGCTACAGCTCCATGGCTATTCTTCTGTGATAGAAACCAACAGGGCTGAGCAAGACCCACTGCCACCAAATCCAGATTCATATACAAGCATGGCACATTCTGACAATACTGGGGTGAGGAGTGGAAATGCAACAATCTTTTCTGCATGTGGACTCCTGTGCAAAAGAAATGCACATGCTCAGGTAGAAACCACAGCATTCTCAGAATTAGCTGGTGATATAGCTGATCAGTAATATATTACATGTTTATGTCACTCCAAAAGTAATGTCTCCTCTTCATTTCTGTGGAAACTACAGTAAATAGCAAGAAAAAAATAACACTACTTGATTGACCAAATTCTCAGCTAGAAGACACTATTTTTCAGTATAGTCACCACCATTATATGATCTGTGTGGATGAGCTGATCTATATGATCTTAATTCGGTGGTATGACAGATGTGCATGGCTCTCTTGGACGTGTATTGTTTCTCACATCACTGTCACCACTGTTGAAACACACCACCCACCTTCTCGCTACCACTATCCATATTGAAATCTCCATTAACTCAAACAAGTAGCCTTAGTTCTTGCATCAGCATTGGTAAACAGTCTACAGATATGACTGTGCTGATAATCACAATGCTATATGCACATCAATAAAATTACTATTACAAAGCAGAGAGATTTCTTTTATAAGGTCTTCATGAGTGATTGTATATTTAAATGGAAAATGATCTGATATCAAAATGAATTCAAGTCCAAAATCTTCCACATGGACTAAGATTTCTTCTGGTGAAATACAGGAGGATGCTGGAAAATAGGGGAAAGGAAATCTAGAACTGAGAATTTTAAATGGAATATGAAAAGCAAAGTAGTTTTAGAGCCAGTAACAGCAGGAGGATCAATTTCAGAAATAAAATTACCCAACATCCAAGCAGTACAGAGTTGATGATACTTGCAAACTGAACTATAAAGACAGAAGAGGAGGTGAGTCTTGATGGTCTTCTGGATAAATGTATCATTTTTATTTTTATCCTTTTCTCGAACTGCGTCCACATGAGATGTTTTCATAAAAGAACAAAATAGTCCATTTCTCCATGCCCTTCCAAGGTTAAAGTAGCCAGCTTTCCAGAGTTCCTGGTAAATGTCATGTCTGTAACCTACTGGATAAATAGACTAAGTGAGGAGTTCTAAGAGGCCAAAATAGATACAGCTACAAATGAGTATGTGGTGAGGCACAAAAATTAAGCTTTCTTATTTTGGTGCAAAACTCTGACTGAATTCATCTAAATGTTCTGCAACTGTCATGAATAGTGGTTCTTGTAGTTAACTGATCATTAAATATGCAACTGCAAATTCAAAGCCTAAATTCAATTGCTGAATTGAAATAAAGAGGAAATTTAATTTTATATTAAGGAACAAGTTCAGTGCAGCCTTGACTGTAGAGCTGCCCTCAATTTATTTATATTTCAGTAAGTGCATATAAACTATTTAAATACTTTTTGATTACTAGCTTGCATACATGGGCTTCTATTTCAAAGGAATTTGGGGTTTTCCTATAACAAGAAAATTTGGAAATAAAATTGGAACAGTAAGAAAGCCCTACTAGGATCAAAGCATTAAGCATTCTCTGTGTCTCTTCAATTACTGTTAATAGTTTGATCTTCTGCAGTCACAGAACAGACTGGATAATTACCTGCTTTGTGGAGTACTTCCAATATGTTACCAAACCACACTGTTAACAAACTTGGGCACTTATAAGCCTCAAAAGATGGGTTTCAGAAAATATGACATTAGCAATAAGACCACTTCATTATAGCAGCAATATTTGCAACAACCAAAGGGAAATTCCAAAATGTAATAGAACAAATCATTTTCAAGGGCTGGTCTAACTGCGTATTTGTAAAGACTGCATGATTTCCTATAAAGTAAACCCTCCCTTTACATGTCATCCAACAATCTGTATCTTTAAAAACTTGATTGAATTTTAAAAATAAATTAAAATTTATTTGGACTCATGTTATGTAAAAAAGAATGTATGTCTAATCTGCATTTTAACATCTTTATCATACCTAATACATTTCTGGTGTATTTGCAGATCAATATTATGGAAGTAGGAATAAAAGAGTTCAGTTGTATCTTATTTTAAGATGTGTGTGATTTCTTAACAGAATATTCACATAATTCAATCAGTGTGGATCTAAGTAGCCTAAACATATAGACTTGTTTTTTGAAAGAAAAGAGATTTCTGTGACACTTTAGACAAAATGTAGTTCTTGTTTCTAGATGTGAAGCTGGTTTAAAAGGCATAGCAGTTAAATAGCTGCTTTCCAAATCTTAATCCTAATATTTCAGCAAAGGTTATTTTACCATGAGACCTCACAATCCTCTAAGGTAAGTAGCTACTGCAAAAAATATTATAATATCTATTTAATTGGAGAAAGGATATTTTTCCATTGTATTAGACGTTATTGCACTAATCAGGCTAAGCTACGTTCTGATAGTTTAGCAGTGAAAAAGATATACAAGAAGTAAATGGAACACTGGTTATGTTACTCTTCCTCACAATAGTACAAACAGCCCTGGCATTTTCCAAAAAGGTGGTTGTATCTTTTGGAAAAGAAAGGATTTCTCTAAATATTCAAAAATACATATGGAGATCAGGCTGAGTTGTTCAGTGCAGTTCCAAAGGCAGAAATGACCTACTTGTACAATAAGAAATATCAAGAGATCCAATTACTGCTTGGCAAGGAAAGTTTTTTCTCACCTCCGGGATGTACTAGAGAGATCATCACAGATGAAAGAACTCAGCTGAAGTAGTGTAAATAAGCAGAGTTTGAACAGCTTAGATTGGAAACTTCCTATGAAATTATTGGATCTGTAGTAGTTTGAAAATCAATATTGACAATGTTGTCATCATACCAGCATTTGTTATTTTATGTCTACATTTTCCTGGATATTACTGGTATGTGCTCACAGACAGAGGAATAAATTCAAGGCCTTTTTTATTTCTTTGGAAATATCCATTCTGATTAGTTGTTACTTTGTCCAAAAGGAAAAATTTAAATAACAGGTTTTGTTGAGGAACTCAGTGACTTTTTTTTTTTAGCTTCCTTTCTTTCTACAGCCACACTCACTGTCACACTTCTGTTGAATGATCATTAGAGGCTGCTTCCTGTTAGTCTATGCATCTCCCAAAATGGTAAGCATGTGGGAGCCTGAAGCTAATTGAAAGATATGAATCCAATTGTTCAGGCTAAGATATCTGAACTATCAACTGCTCCTTTGACCTTCCAGCTTCTACCAAACTTTTTGAGTCTTTTGATGCTTATTTTGTGTTTACCCTACAGGGCTCTATGAATACTATCCAACCAATGCAGAACCAGAATGCTGTGATGTCAGATGGGGACTATTATCAGATCATCAATCCAAAGGGACTATAAAAACAAGTGGCTCAACAATGTGTCATAGGACATCGCTCACAGTTTCATCAGCATCAAGACTGTGTAACAGCAGACTTAAACTGTGTGTTCTTGTATTAATTCTATTACATACAGTACTAACAGTCTCAGCAGCACAGAACTCAACAGGACTGGGCTTTGGAGGCATAACAACTTTGGAAGATAATTCAACCAATGAGGAATGAAAAAAAGGATTTGTCTTACATGACAGAAACACAAGAGGCCCAAGTGACTACAGTCAAATACAAAAATGACTGAGTGCTTTATCCTCAGATATCTTCTTCAGTGATCTTTTGGGTAAAAGGAAAAGAATGGGCCACTACCCAAACAAGAAGAACACAAGAACACAGCTTTTTATTGACTAAAAGGCTGTATGGTGACTTAAATTTCTCACACCATTTTATACACTGTGTTTTAATGTTTGGAGTTTCTTTTTTTGTTTGTTTTTTGCACTTGTTAATACAGGATTTTATTTTTGGGACAGTTTCTCAAAGCTAAATTAAGTCTTTTCTCTGTCGATATATTTCTAGTCATTGTGTGTGTTCATCTGATAGTTCTGTCTTTTATGTCCTGTCAGTTTCTATTAGAGGAATGACTGCTATGATTCCATGGCATAGTAAAAAAAATAAAATAAAAAAAAAAAATTAAAAAAAGAAAAAAAAGAAAAAAAGAGAAAAA